TTACAACACCAGGACTACAGGATTTTATGTCAGAGCCCTCTCAAAGTCTCTCCTTTGGGAGCAGAATCTCTGTTACGTTGGTCTCTTAGCTGGGCTCTGAGGGTCTGCTCTTCCCTAATGACTGCTAATTCCCTAATCAACTCTCAGTTTTCAGGGTAGTAATCTCTTCAGTCTGTGGCCAGACCTTTTGTTTCCTGTAAGAGATCAAGCTTCTGAATATATTGACTTTTAAAATTCATGGACTAGTCAATCATTGCTCACACAATGGAATTGCTGCCTTCAAACTCAATCAGAGAAAGGTGTCCATATTTCATGTTAGGATGAAAAGTTATTGACAGATCGTTTACACATTGGTACTTTAGCTTCTGTGATTATATGTTGTGACTCCATCAACTGAGAGAGAAAACCAAATGCCCTCTCCTTATACCTTTTTCTCTATTTAAATATTTGCCATCCCAAGCAAATCAACAAGGGGGCTTTTTGACAAAATCCAATATACAAGCAACTTATAAATTAACATTCTTCCATGAGGATTTAGCGGTCCTAAAAATTATATTCACCCCTCAAATACATGGTGATACAATTTAACAAATAGACATCAATTTACACAGTTCTCATAAAAGTGCTTGTAAAGACCTTTCCCAACCCCAAAGCAATACAAAAAAGTGAAAAATTGAGCTGCCTCAAGCAGAGGGAAAGTCGTCTCTACAGGAATCCCAGAACAGGGAGTAGAGACCTGGGGGACTACAAGGCACTTCTTACCTTCAGGCAAGAAGCCAGACCACCTTGTCTTGGTGCTCATTATAACATGAGAGATCTGCTCACTTTCTTCTTCTCCAACTGAAGGGTCTCTCTGCTCTGGGCTCCCATGGGTACTCAGTGCTATAACAAACCAGTAATTGGTCCAGAAATTACTGGGATGCTATTCCTTTCCACCCCTGCTCTAGACATAAGCAGCAGACTAGGGTGAGTTCTCTGGATCTCTGTAACGCAAGGATTGAAATTTCCCCAATGGGCCCCTGAAACATACAGAGCCTTCCAAATGGCTATTCCAACTCATCCCTCACTGTGACAAGATCCTTCTCTATAGCAATTGCTTTAAAAGTAATCAGACAAACTCAGAGAGGCCCCAAAGAGATGAAGCACTTGGAGGATTGGCTACTCAGGGTTTCTAGAATATCAGTTTTGCCTTTTCCTAAAGTCTGTAAGTAAAGCAGATAAGTTATTTGATATTAAGATAAATAGTTCTGCCCAAAAATGGAAAAATGGAACCCAGACAAGCTTCTACAATGTCATCTAAGATATTTGCTAGGCACAAGTATTCTAAGAATGCAATGTCTTCACTGCTTATATTAGCTAAAGTATTTATAATAGACATGGTGGTCATGCAATAGACATGAGGACATAAGCATTCAACAAAGCAAAAATTATTTAAAACAAAATGTTATGACTCATAAGGATGCTGAAAAGCTGACTGTCCTGTTATAATATGGGGGAAAAACCAGAGAAAAATACTAATTTGGGGTATATATTAAATTAGATGACTGCTGAAGCTCCTTACAACTCTAAAAAAATATTGTGGAACTGATTTTTATGTATCTGAATCATATAAAGATGTATATATCTATATCTAGATCTATAATATACTTATACGTATACATATATAATATTAGCTTTTGTTGTTGTTCAGTTTCAGTGGTGTCTGGCTCTTTGTAACCCCATTTGCAGTTTTCATGGCAAAGGTACTGGAATGTTTGCTATTTCCTTCTCCAGCTCATTTTACAGATGAGGAAACTGAGGCAAACAGGGTTAAGTGACTTGCCTAGGGTCACACAGCTAGTAAGTGTCTGAGGCCAGGTTTGAACTCAGGAAGATAAGTTCAGGCCTGGCACTCTATCTACTATGCCACTTAGCTGCCCCAATACTAGCTGACATTTACATAATTTGTGTAATTATATTTACATTGTACCTTACATATCTTATCTTATTGTGTTCTTACAACAACCTTACGAATAGGCACCACAGGCATTAATATTTTTTTATCAAAGAGGAAACTGAGGATGGGAGATATTAAGTGATTTGCCCATTATCACCTTGCTAGTAAGTGTTAGAGGCAAAATCTAAACTTGGATGACTTCTGATCTTAGAACCACTACTTTTCCTCTACACCGCACACTATATAAATATTTGATAATATTAATATGACCTCTTTCAAATCTATAATGAATAAAGTAAGTTTTTGTTAATTTACTTTGATTCATCTGCTAAATTAACTAAACATGACTATGTTTGTAATATTTGGCTAGAATGAGCTAGAGTAGCTTTCCGTTTCTTCCAACTTAGAGTTTAAGGGAAAAGAGTTAGGATAAGAAAATGCCACTCTATGCATAAAGTGCATGGGGATTTTTCTGATATAAACCCGGCAATTTAGCTAAGAAAAATCTGATAGGTTTTGACAACAAAATTCCTTATACCTTTAGTGCTCAAAATGGTAAAACATGTCTCTCTTTATCACTCAAATTTCCATTTCTAGTTATTAGACAAAGAAAAATTCAAATGCATTTTAATGTAGATGAAAGTCAGGCACTGTAGATTAAATGCTGAGTGTAAGGGGGTTATAGGAGTATTGTTCACAAGCCTATTAATTTACTTGAAAGACAGCTTTTAAATTGAAAACCATAATATCAAGGGTTTTAGAGGCAGTGGAATACAATTTTTTTATCTACCGATCTTTGTTGACAGCAAGCTAGTATAAGGATTTTTTTTCTAGCCACAATTGACGTTAGAATTTGGGTGAAAGTGCTTCCACTAAAAGAAAGTATTAAGGATTTTAAAAATATAAAAATACCTTGATTTAAAGAGGATAGAATTTTATAGTGTCATATTTAGGCCTCCCTCTGGGTCCTTGCCACCACTACCAACACTGCCACCACCACCACCACCAACAATAACAACAAAAACAACTCTTACTTGTACTTTCAGGTTGCCTCCCTATAGGGCTGCTGCTGCCTCCAGTTCTAGCAGTAAGCTGTGGGTACCCACTCCTAAAACTATGGTTTCCAAACCCCTGCCACTGTGTTCCCATCTATAGTCAGCCAGATGCAGAATGAGATGTATTTTGGGACATGGCCAACACGACAATTTGTTTTGTTTGACTATGTATATTTGTTATAAGAATTTTGGTCTTCTGTTTTTCTTTTTTTTCTCCCCCAGTGGTGGGCAGAAGTGGGAGAGACAACACATGCTTTGTTCATTGAAAAAAAATTGTTTCTACTTCAAAATGCCTGATGATTGGCCATTCAGCCTCTGTTTAAAGACCTGCACTGATGGAGCACCTACCACTTCCTGATGCGTTTTTGAACAGTTATTAATTTTAGAAAATTTCCCTGACATTGAATGTAAATTTTTGCCTCTTAGCAGCTTCCACCAGTTACTCCCTATTCTGTCCTCTGGGGCCAAGAGAATATGTCCAATCCAACTTCTTTATGGCAGCTCTAAGAATATTTGAGTAGAGTGTTCATGTCCCCACTGAATCTTCACTTCTCTAGTTCCTTTAACTGATTCTTATGTGATATGGACTCAAAGTTCTCATCTTGGACAGTTGCTAGCATATCACTGGTTTTAAACTCATTGCTCCAATTTCAAGCCAGATAGAATATAATTCTAATTATTTTGGGTAATGTTTTGGTGGCAAAGGTTTCTCATTAACTGATTTCTCTTCAATTAGGATGTCTTTCTGATTTTTCAGTTTGCATTAGTGACAACTGTGATGGTCATGGACCAATCCTTTTATTACTGCCAAGGAGAAATATCAATTGTATTAGTTGGAGTGTTGAGCAAAACTTCAGGGGAAATATGAGATAGTCATGGATGTTTTTTCAACTTGTAACTTTCAAAGACCATAGATTTAGAGCTGGAAGTGTCCCTGGGTATTTAGTCACACCTCTTCACTTTACACGTAAACAAGGTAAAGCTCAGGAATGTTAAATAAAAAGTCACTCTCAAATATTCAAATGAATCTGTGATCTTATAGCTTAGTGAGGCCCCTCTATTGATGCAGATTGCAACCCAGGCAACTCATTCATGCCTACCCATCCCACACAGCTTCTTGTCCATGTTTTCCCCAAAGTAGCAAACAACATGGAGTCAATTCATTCAATATGCTGAAGGCCTTCCTTACTTTCTACTAAAATTACGAGGGTACCAGTGGAGCATAATGGTTGTCTACCTGTTATTCCTTGCCCTGTCATCTCTTTCTGTCATCCAAAATTAAAGAAAAAATACTTTCTGTCATCTGAATTCTTTGATAACCCAAGGTCATATAAGTTGTAAATACCAGAGCTGAGATTCAACCTCAGGTCCTCTGACCCCCAAATATAGAGATCTTAACACTGTACCATGTTTCCTCATTTCATTTCATGGGATTTCGGATTTTTAAAATGAGAAGTCTAATTATTTCTCATGCACATCTTATGGTTTGGGGTATCTAAGAGCATTATCAGTTTTTAATATATTGCTTTTATGTAGTCACAGTGCATCAGAAAGACTTTTTTGGGGGGGCCAGTAATTGGAAATAGATTTTTCCTTAGCGTGAATGTTCGCAAGATGATATATTTAAGCCCAAAGGGACTTAAGAGGTCATCCCATCCAAATTCTTTTTCTTTTTTTTTTTATAGATGAGGAAGCTGAGTCCTAGAGTATAGTGAGCTACAATGACTTGCCCAAGGTCACACAGATTTGAACTCAGGTGTCTCTAATTCCAACCCTTTTTCTATACCATACTGCCTCTCTTTCCACACACTTCAGCTTAATCCAAGAGTTTGTGTTCTGATGACCTACAGTAACAATGTCAGTATCACAGTCATACACATGCGTGGGCATGATAATGTACTATTTACTTAATATTGAATATGAAGATGTTCTGTTGCTTGGATGTTTCTTCGTACTTTTCACTTAAATTAATAGTTTTCACTAAATAGCTTTTATTTCTTCATTTGAAGCATGGCGGAACACAAAGGAAAATGCTACATTCCTGAGAGCTGTCCATGCCTCTGGAAGGACTGGGAATACCTTTCAGGAGAAGTGATTTCTACACCTTGTTATACGTGGTAATGAGTTTCAATGATTTCATTGTGGTTTGATTAAGCATTTCTGCTGGCAGCAGTCTCTGGCTGATAGTTACTGAATCTGGCTGCTGTCTTCTCATTCACCAAAGGAGAAGCCAGTATCCTAGGTCCTTTCTTAAAGCCTACCGATTAAGTGAAAGTAGAACGTTCTAGGAAGTGATAAAGAAATCACTGTATTTATTCGTTGGCTCATTTGTTTAGCCTATGACAAATGGGTAGACAATTATAAATCTAGATATTGATAGAAGAAAAGTATCAAGCTTACCAGTAACTATCTTAGTTGATAGAAAAAGGGCAACATAGCATTTCTTGCCAGGTCTTCCATTTTTTAAAAAGGGAAAAATTACTTCAAGATAATTTTAAAGAGAGGATTTTTATTCTGAAGTAGAAGGACTTCCAAAAAGTGGGCAAAGGTTTGGAGATTGTAAATAAGACCATGTACCTGGCATGAATAAATTAACTAGAAAAGAAAACAATGTCAAGGAAACATAAATGAAACATTTCACGAAAGGAGTTTCAGGCGGGGACACAGACAAGCAGAGCCATTTTTAGGAGCTTTATTTCTAGTTCCTAGGGATTGAAATGTGACCTCTGGTTCATTTGGTATGGGGAACTTTCAGGTGAAGAAAATCCTTCTACCAATGCAAGTCAATATCTTTTCTGTGACTCATAGTCTTAGAAAGCTATCTGGGGCACTGAGAGATTTGATGACTTACTGTGGGTTGCCTATACTACACAGGTAGACTATGTTGACTGTGGGACTTGAATCAGGTCATCCTGGCTTCCAGACCAGATCTCTACCCACTATAACACTTTATCTTGTCCTGTGTCAAATTTATTATTTACTTAGAACAGCCCTGCATATTTCAGAAACTTAGTTTCATTTATAAACCTCCTTTTTGTGCTTCTTTTTTATTGAAATATTCATGTTTTATTATTTTTAAAGCAAATTAATAAAAAGCAAATTTAAAAATTGCTACTCTGATCCCTCCTTGCAACATGACAATGATCTTAGGATTGTGAAGACTATTCCAAGTTCTACCAATCTGGAAAGACTTTGAATTTGGATGCAACAATGTCTGGCATCTAACGATCAGTCCAGTATGGGTCTGGATGCATATGACAATGTCTCTTGTGGGGATATTAGCTTAGCTCAGTTTATAGTGTCTCACTGCCAGGTGACACACTGAGTGGAGGGTGAGGAAAATTTGTGGACCACAGCATCTCCTGAAGCCTACTTGTGATTAGTTCTAGGAGGGAGTTCTCACATTGATGAAACCACAGACACTTCAAGCATGGAAGAAATGTGAACTATTTTCTGACTATCAGGCCTATGTTTAATTCTTGGTTCCTCACTTATTTTCTGTGTGACAATGGCATCATCTCTAAAGTTAATTCTGATTTTTTAATTCATCTGTACAATGAACACAATAACTACTCTAAGGGTTGGGTGGCTTAGAAAATAGACTTTGACTAGTATTTATGCTGATTGAAAGAAACTAACAATGAGAAAGCTTCTTTGAAAGGTCATAACATTGTCATTCTCATAGTGTTTGTCGGCGAGGAATGTTCAATTGTACTTATTACCCATGCCCCGCGGTGTGCACAGTTTATGGGGACCGTCATTACCATTCCTTTGATGGACTGGAATTTGACTATGTCAGTGATTGCCAAGCTTTCCTGGTCAAGGTAGGTGAACGATTGTTCTTCTGTGTTTATATTTGTATAGGATTCCTGTCCCAACAAATGAGAACTCCTAGTCCATGGCAGGTTTAAATGTTGTGAGCAAAGCCTTCAGAAAGAGGTAGCAGTTGTGAGTCAATTTCCCAGATACAACTTTATGTCTAATTATATTTACAATCAAGAATAAGTGAGTCTTAATAAGGGTTGAATTCTTTCTTGGGCTGACATGGTTAAAAGCATAAAATGTAATAAACTTTTTTTTAAAGCTAAAAATATATGTAGATGATTGTAAGATACGTATTGCTCTATAATTGGGAAGGTATGGCACAGGGGTTAGACAGCTGGCTTTGGAATTGGGAAGATCTGAGTTCATTTCCCACCTCTGACACCTCTTAGTGTACTAGACAACTCTTTAGTCCTACAAATTGCAGGGAAAGAGCCAACCTGCATAATTAGAGGGAGTTTCCTTATTTGGGAGTTACCTATACCAGTGAAATCACCGATGCAATCTGTATTTGACTCAGAATTTGTTTCTATGTATCTTAAATCATAGATCTGGAATTTTTGCATGTGCACACATACACATGCACATATATAGATAGATAGATATACAGTACATGTACACATGGGTATGCATACGTGTGCATAGACACATAGACACATGTATACATATATACATATCTGTGCCTATATGTATGTGTATATATGTGTACACATCTACATATGTATATGCACACAATATCTTTACCCATATCTACATCTATCTATATACATATATCCATATACATATATCCAAATTTGTTTATATATATAATATGTACATATATAATATACACTGTATCTATATGTATGCATATATAATATATCTATATTTATAAATAAGTGTATACACATACATATAGATATAGATAGATGCATGTTTACATATATACATACATATACATATGTGTGTCTGTATTAGATTTAATTGGTGTAAGGAACTTACAGAGAAGAAACTTTCATTACTAATACAGATCAACATCTTATGTTCTTAGAGAATTACCTGGAATACTGAGACATTAAGTAACTTTTACAGGGGTCCCAGGACCAATATGTGTTAGAGGTGGGAACAAAGGCTATGCGTTCTTGACTCCAAGGGTGGCTCTCTATTTGCTATGCCAGACTGTCTCTCAAAACAAAATATAGCAATACTTTTTGTTTTGGAGTCTTGAATTTGGGTGTATAAATAATGATGCAAATATGTAAGCATTGTGAATACAATATTGGATTTAAAGTTTTGAGGACCTGACTTCAAATACTACTTCTGACACTTAATAGCTATGTGACAACGTGCAAGTCATTCGGCCTCCCTGAACCTGGTCTCTTCATTTGTAAAATGCAGATAATAACATCTATCATGACTGCTTCAAAAAGTTATTGTATAGTTCAAGTGTGGTGAGGTAAAAATATAAAAAATTTTACAATTCTTGAAGATTACTACTTATTATTATTATTAGTAGTAGTAGTAGCAGTAGTAGTAATATATAAGAAGATACTTATAGCGTAGCTCTCTTTTAAGTCTATAAAACAGGGAATATATCTTTTATGAGCTATGGAAACCATTTTTGGGGAAAGTTCCAACACTGTGATTTCATTAGTGTGGGGAACTCCAGTGTGGGAATTCCCTCCACTGATGTAGATTGACAAATGGTCTGTAACTTATTCTTCATGTTAAAAAAATGCTAGAGATGTATGAGTCTTTTGGGTAGTACAGTAGCACAGTATAGAGCATTGGACCTGGAGTCAAGAAGTCTTGAATTCAATTCCAGCCTCAGACACTTACAAGCTATGTAACTCTGGGCAAGTCACTTAACCTCTGTCTGAATCAAGTTCCTTAATTGTAAAATGGGAATGATAACAGCAACTACCTCCCAGGGTTCTTGTGAGCATAAAATGAGATAATATTTGTAAAGTGCAAGTATTTGTAAGTGCTTGTAAAGTGCAAGTGTTTGCAAACCTTGATGTGTTATATAAATGCTACTTATGATTATTATATTATTATAATATTATAGAAATTCTAATATAGGCTATTAGTAAATAGCACAGATTGCTTGAATTGTAATGCCATGTATTTAAAGAAATACTATATAATTCTTGAAATACAAATCCTATTGAATTACTAAAAGGCCTATATTTTATTGGCCTCAATAATTCAATTTATAAATGAGAAATTTAGGCTAGAGAAAGTGACATGAGTCAATATAAATAAGCTCCTAGCTTCCAGCAATGTAACCATATAATGAACTTCTTTAAAAATGGGAACTTTTGATATTATGATCCTTTGTGTTGTTAAAGGACTTTTTTGAACCGTATTTTAAGTGTATCATCACATAAGTATGCTAATTATTCCCATTTTAAAATGACTGCAATTAACTGAAAAGTGATCATTAAAGCCTGCAACCTCTCACTCTTTAATAAAGCTCATGTGTTAAGACTCTCCTTCAACCAACCTGATTTACTTTTTTCTTTTTTTTTTTTTGGTGCTTCATTGTGAGTGATTTTGAGTGTCTTGTAAAATGAGCCACTGTGAATGGTGGAGTTCTAAAGTTCAAGAAGTTATCTGGCAGTCATATAATGCAGGAAGATGGCAAGTTGCCTGTAGCTTTTCATCCAGTGAATAACAAGACACAGGTGATGAAAATGTACCCTGTGAGTCTTTGTCTACTCAGAACAAGCCTTGTTTTAGCAAAGAGAGGTGCAATATTAGACTGCTAAGTCTTCTTTCAAGGTCTGGACCTTAAATCAACAACATGCATAAAAGCAGATAAAAGCCTGAAATTTCATGGCTCCACTAAAACTCTTCCCTCAGAGATAACTAGGGACTTCCTTCTCGCCAAATAAGGCCTTTCCTCCATCCTGTTCCTCCATGACATCCCTGTAGAACTCCCTAGACCTCCTATGGTACTTGACCCTAATGACAGCTCATTCCATGAAATTCTATCCTCACTTTTCCTCAATGACATTTGATGAGGTAGTTGGTAGTAAGGTAGGAGGAGGGGAGACAGAATAGATGGTTTGGAATAAGCCCTGTGGGAAATTATGTAACGTAAATTAGAAGGATTGGCAAGCAGGAGTTGAGGTCTGCCTTTAGCAAGTGAAAGTCTGTTTGATTTAGTGATTTCCTCAGCATCCCTAGAACAGAACAAGTAGAGAAATCAGATATTAGCAGTTACCTAGGCATGTAGTTTCACAGTTTGGAAATAGGAAAAAGTCCAGAGGGCAGGATCTTAGTAGCTAGACTATAGTATCAAGGCTGGTTATAGGGAAGTAAATGAAGTCAGAGTATCTTCCACTTACACTGAATCTATGTATCTTTATCTTTTGTATATGTACTTTTAAAATGTTGTTTCCCACATTAGGATGTGAGTTCTTTGAGAGTGGGGACTATGTTTTTGGGTTTTTTCATATCCCAAGCACTTAGCACAATGACTGGTACAGAGTAAGACGTGCGAAAAATGTTTGGTAACTGACCAAGTGACTGAGTAAGGGAGATGGATTGGAAAAATAATTATGGGTCATAGGCCTGAACATTACAATGAGAGATGAAGAACAGATTTAGTTGGAGTAAGGTAATGGGAGATTTAGGAGGATAAGAGGTTGTAATAGAATGTAAAATTCTAATTTTGGGGGGGCAGAATGACCTAGAGATCAGTAGATGAGAGCAAGAAAGATGGACATTGGACTGCATTGTGTCAAAAGAAGAAAAGACATTGAAGAATTATGGTAGAGGAATGATTTGGAAAGGGTGGTGGGAAAAAAGGAGCATATTCACCTCTCTTCCTAACCCTGTTACTCAGGAGGAGCAGAGAGAATTGGAAGGGATGAGGTATCCTCAAGGGAAAACCAGATATCTTCTAAATTGAAGATGTGGAGGTAATGAATATTTCTATGCAGCTTTAAGGTTTGCAAATTACTTTACATATGTTATCTGTTTAATCCTTTAAACAACCCTGGGAGGTAAGTTTTAGTGTTTCTTCCACTTTATAGATGGGTAGAGGTTAAATTACTTGCCCAGAGTCACAGAACTAGTAATTGTGTGAAGCAGGATTCACATTCAGGGACTCTGTCCATTCTGCCTTTAGCTGCCTGTTGAAGATGGCAGATGTTTTGTCAACAGTAGTACTGAGGATGTCAAAGTCATGGCAGGATAGATTGGGATTTGGATGCACCAGGCCTTATTTTCTCTCTCTATGCTTCTCAGAACCATATTTGGATTACGTGATAGGTACTTAACAATTATTTGTTGAGTAATTCATCTCATACAATCATATCACAAATGAACCAAGCAATGGTTATTGAATGATTACTATTTGTCAGGACTCTAGGACCTTTACAAAGAAAACCTCAAAGAGGGTCATAAAGAGTCAGGCACAACTGAACAAAAACAAAATATTTCAGGGACTGTGCTAAGCACTGTGGACACTGTGAGAACAGAGAATCAGACTATGCCCTAAAGGAATTTATATTCTAATGGAGGAAACAGCACATACATATATAAGTACATATAATATATTTAATGCAGAAGCAAAGTCACCTTGGAGAGAAAACACTAAGAGCTAGGAACTAGGAAAAGCTTCCTAGCAGAAGGTGATACTTAAACTGAATATTGAAAGAAACCAGAGATTCCAAGAGAAGGTGAGGAGGAAGAGCATTCCAAGCATGGGGAACATCACATGCAAAAATATGGAGGTGGGAGATGGAAATCAAGTGTGAGGAAAAGCAAAGAGGTTAGTATGGCTTCAGTATGGAGTGTGCAGTGGAGAAAAATGTGCAAAAACCCTGGAAATGGAGGAAGGGGCCAGCCAGATTCTGAAGAGTAGTAAATGGCAAACAGAGGAATTTAAATGTGATCGTAAAGGTAATAGAGAGATTGGACTTTATTGAGTGGAGTGGTGTAGGTGGTGGTGATGTGGTCACTTCTGTAGCTTGAGAAAATCCCTTTGGTGGCTGTATGGAGGTCTGATTAG